TGCCGGTTCTAGGTGCAGAAAGACCATAGTCTCAATTGTAATAGTTGTGAGAACTGTACATGTGTTGGTTAGCAATGGCTATATAACAAATTATCGCAAAGTGTAATGGCTTCAAACAACATTCGTTATCTTGGTTTCTCTAGGTCAGCAGTCAGGATGCAGCTCAGAGGGGTCCTCTGCCTCAGAGGTGGCTCGCAGAGCTGTGAAGTGTCAGCCGGGGCTGCAATCGTCTGGAGAAGCATGTTTTTTTTTTTTTTTTCTTAAGATTTTATTTATTTATTTGACAGAGAAAGACACAGCGAGAGAGGGAACACAAGCAGGGGGAGTGGGAGAGGGAGAAGCAGGCTCTCTGCCGAGCAGGGAGCCCAATGCAGGGTTCGATCCCAGGATCCTGGGATCATGACCTGAGCCGAAGGCAGATGCTTAACGCCTGAGCCACCCAGGCGCCCCGAGAAGTGTCTGCTTCTGAGCTCACTCGTGGGGTTGTCAGCAGGATTGAGTTCCTCGCCGGCTGGAGGCTACCCTCAGTTCCTTCCACACAGGCCTCTTCACAGGGCAGCTCACAAGATGTAAGCTTGCTTCGTCATGGGAAGCAAGAGAAGAGAACGAACAAGACCATTCCGATCTCTTGTACCTTAACCCCAGAAACGGCATCCTGTCGCCTCTGCTGAGGTGTTAGAAGCAAGTCTGTAGGTCTAGTGCACACTCAGGGGAAGCAGATGGTACCAGGCACGACTGGCTTCGGGCAGGACCCCTGCACGCCATCGAGAGCCTGCCTATTCCCAGACATCCACGTGTGTTCTCATCTAGCGTCCGGCTCACCTGAAAGCCCGGAGCAGGCACAGACCAAATGCCTACAGGTCAAGCAGAGGATGAGGGAAGAAATTAGCAGTGGGAGTTTTGCTGCTCATCCTTGGCTACTGCCAAGCAGGAAGGGAGGCTGACCATCTAATATCTAAACTCCAAAGTTTAGATATTCTAAACTTTCAAAAGAAGTCAAATCCAGGGGCACCTGGGTGGCTCAGTCATTAAGCGTCTGCCTTCAGCTCAGGTCATGATCCCAGGGTCCTGGGATCGAGACCCGCATCGGGCTCCCTGCTCTGCAGGAAGCCTGCTTCTCCCTCTCCCACTTCCCCTGCTTGTGTTCCCTCTCTCGCTGTGTCTCTCTCTGTCAAATAAATAAATAAATAAATAACCTTTAAAAAAATTTTTTTAAAAAAAGAAGTCAAATCCAGATTTTTGAGAGCCATTTCCTGATTTTATTTTATTTTTTTTAAAGATTTTATTTATTTGACAGAGAGAGACACAGCAAGAGAGGGAACACATGTGACCGAGAGGAAGAAGCAGGCTTCCCGCTGAGAAGAGAGCCCGATGCAGGGCTCGATCCCAGGACCCTGGGATCATGACCCAAGCCGAAGGCAGACGCTTAACCGACTGAGCCACCCAGGTGCCCCAACATTTCCTGATTTTAAAACTGGTAATCTAGTTGGGGTACCAGTGAGTTAAAGCATCTGTCTTTGACTCAGGTCATGATGCCAGGATCCTGGGATTGAGCCCTGCACTGGGCTCTCTGCTCAGTGAGGAGCCTGCTTCTCCCTCTCCAGCTCCCCCTGCTTGTACCCTTTCTCTCTCAGATAAATAAAATCTTTTAAATAAATAAGTACTGATAATCTAGCAAAAATACACAAGGCTTAGGAGTGTTGGACTCCGCTCTATGGCAGAAAGAACCTGAACTATCCTACCACCCTTTGTATGTGTGTTCCACCTCTCCTGTACCCCCTCCCCGCTCCCCACAATATTCACGAGGGCTGGGACCAAGCAAATTCACTTTGGATACTTTCTGTAGCTCTTTGCATGTAGCAGCCGATAATAAATATTGTCGAATGAAATATGAAATTGCTGACATGTACCTCTTGAGGGAGCATCCCCACGCCCCCCCAATTCTAGAGGAGTGGTTAAAAGTGGGTTCTGCTTCTGAACAGACTAGAATCCTGGCTCTGTCCCTTGCCTGTTGTGTGACCTTCAGCAAGTTTCAGAGTTCAGCTTCTTCATCTGTAAAGTGAGAAAATCCATACCTGCTTGGGAGTTGTTATAAGCGTTAAGTGAACTAATACACTTCTTAGCACACCACTGCAACCCAAGAGCTATTCTTACTGGCTCCCGGGCACCTCTCCCCTTAATCTGTTCCCTACCACCCTCCTCCACTCCCCACCCACTGGCAGTCGGGGAGAGCCTCGGAAACCCACATCTGTCTCTTTCACTGCCAGGGTTTACATCCTCCAACAGTTTGCGGCTGCCCTGGGCAGGAGAAAATCCCAAACTCCTTAACACAGCTTCTCAGGGCTCTTTTGGAGCTCCGCCTGCCCAGCCCCCAAGTCTCATCTCTCACCACCACCTCCCTTCACACTCGGCACTCCAGGCACACCGAAGCTGTTTCTTGAACGCGCCACACCTTCTGCCACTTCAAAGCCTTTGCAAGTACTATTCCCTCCAGCTGGAACCTCTTCTCTCCGCTCCTACCACCCCTCCTAGATGTTCCCGCTAGGCACTATCAGAATTTTTGATGCTCCTTGCTAAACCCGAGGGCAGGCACAGTATCTTTCTCACCACTCCCCTCTCCCCACCAAGAGGCCGCCGGCACCCAAGGGGCAAATAGGCCTTTGTGAAACTGCCCGCGGCCCTGCCGAGCCTGTGAGCACACAGCGCCACCTGTTGACCCAAGCTTGCACTTCAGTACCTAGAAAGGAGCCTTCACTTTCTGCCTGCCGCTAGGGTCAGAGCACTTGGCTTTGAGAGTTTCCCAGGGTCCGGGCGCCTGAGTGGCTCAGTCGTTGGGCGTCTGCCTTCGGTTCAGGCCCTGTTCCCAGGGTCCTGGGATCGAGCCCCGCATCGGGCTCCCTGCTTCGTAGGAGGCCTGCTTCTCCCCTTCCCACTCCCCTGCTTATGTTCCCTCTCTGTGTCTCTGTCAAATAAATAAAATCTTTAAAAAAAAAAAAAGTTTCCCAGGGCTTATCCCGTGTCTTCTCACACCAAACTCAGCAGTAACAATCAAACAAACAAGCTAACATTATCAAGCACTTAACCTGACAGAGATAGGCACTTTCCTAAGTGTTGCAGTTATTAACTGTTTCATTTTCACACCACTCAATCAAGGAGGCAGGTACCACTACTACCATGTTATGGATGGGGTCACTGAGGCACTCGGCAGGTAAACGCCTCACCCATGATCACACAGCTAGAAAATTCCACCCCAGGTGGTCTGGCTTGGGCAGTTTGTTTTTTCTTTTGTTTTTTAACAGAGGGAGAGAGAGGTAGAGGGAGGGACAGAGGGAGAGGGAGAATCTTAAACAGACTCCATGCCCACCCTGCACAGTGCCCAAGGCAGGGCTTGACCTCACAGGCGTGAGATCATGCCTGAGGCAAAGTCGAGAGTCGGACGCTCAAACGACTGAGCCACCCCGGAGCCCCTGGGCCTGCCCTTTTAAGCCCCAAACTCGCTGCCGCTAGTGCTTCCTTTACTCCATGCCCAGTGACCTGGTGAGGTTCCATCCCCAACACCCACCTTTCTCTACTACAAAGGCACTGCCACAGTGGCATTAACGTCAACCAAAATCTCACCTGGAGGGAGCGAGCTACACATTCTGGAAGCCGCAAAGCTCTCCAGGACACTCAGGAATTCAAGGCAGCGGTCTCCTCAAGGAGAAGGCAAGAGCGGCAGTCAGCCCCCACTCCTCTCGTGAGACCTCCAACAAGCAACCAGCGCTCCGGGCCGCCACTGCCTAATAGGGCCCCTGAGCCCAGCTGAGTGGGTTAGATCAGGTATTTTCCCCCACTGAGGTGTTTTATCTGCATGCATTACATCCCTAGAAAAAGAATCTCAGGATTTTCCCTCTTGTGTGTTTTTGTCTTGTTTCTTCACAGGCCATGATGCAAACTGAGGCTGTCAGTACAATGAAACCAAACTGGCAGGAGGGGAGCAGATTATTGACATTTTTCTAGATCTTTGAGCTGTCCATCAAATCTGGGGCTGATTACTCCACACTTGTTTAACCTGCCCGTGAGGTTGACCACAAGTTTCCCGGCTCTGTGATCATCAATGATTTCAGATTCGCCAAGGTAACCATGCTTCACCATCACAGAAACCGGATGACTCTGGAGCACGGCCTAATAAGAACTTGGCGTTTGTCTCTCTTTTCCGCATTGTTAATGCTCTTGCGAACATCTGCCAGGACATTCATGTGCACCATTATGGCGGCACGGAAAGATGGTGGAAAGAGCTAGACCGGATGTTGTATGAAGGGTGAGGAGCGCCGTCCCTGATTCAGGCAAACCGTGAATGACAGCGGTTTTCACTCAGTCCCCTCCCTGGATCACTCACATCACACATGAACCTGGTCCCCTCACGTGTTTGGATATTGCCACTTAGAACCCAGGGGTTGGCTACTTCCTTCTCAAATCCCATCTCCTGTTCACTCGTTCCTCTAAATGTTCCTTTATATCTGGAAAAATGCCCGCCTGACTCCACTTAAATTTTAGGTTGTCATGTATACAGCTCGTATCTATTGAGCACTTCCTACGTCCCAGTCATTACTCTAAATGCTGGACACATATTAAACCATTTAAACCTCGCCACAGCCCTATGATTATCCCCATTTTACAGATGAGGAAGCTAAAGCACGCAGTGAAGTGACATGTTCAAGGTCATACAGCAAGAGGCTGACCTGGGATACAACCCAGAACATCGCACCAGTCTGTGCTTTTCAACACCACGAGACTCCCTCTGCTGGTAGAGGCTGTGCCAGCCACACTGCTTTACGTGTAGTAGGTGTCAAGAAACCTGTTTTAATACACACACACACACACACACACACACACACACATACATGTACATACACAGTCACATCGCAGTGTGACAAATACCCCTTCTTCAACCAGGAAAGTAACTCTACCATATTCTGGGCTCCTCGAGGCTCTCCCGAGGGAGCCAAGGCCCAGAAGTCTTCACAGATGACACCCAATGGGGGCACTTTTATTAGACAAGTGGGAAGGGGCAGGGCGCACCTTGGGGTGTATACCGTCTGGGGCCTCACACGGGCCCAGAGCTCTGCTGCACCCTCTTCATCAGCTCTTCATCCTGCATAGACAACTCTGTCAACTTCTTGCCCATCCGCTCATGGATATCAAGGTACTTGGAGACACAGCGGTCCAGGCACACAGATTCGCCCTTGGACAGTTCTGCTTCCTTGTAGTGGGGAGGCACGCACTTCCGGTGACAGGCACTGGTCATTCTGGGGGGGGGGGGGGGGGGAAGGAAGTGTAAGGTCAGGTCAGCAGCATCCTGAGGCATACAAGGAACTCTCCATCATTCCTGCCCTGCTATGCTGACTTCATCTCCCAGGAAGGCAGTGCAAACCCTCAGTTTGCATTTCAACCATCTTAGGAGGTCCTTGAGAGTGCTCACCTGATCTGAGCCCATGTTTATTTAAATAGGAACAATTAGTTGAGTACTGGCTATGTTCCAGGCATCATGCTAAGTGCTTGACACAGCTTGTCATGCAGTCCTTACAATAACCCTATGAGGTAGGCACAATCATTATCCCCATTTTACAGATAAAGAAATTAAGGCATGGAGAGCCTCAGGATCATGTAAAGCTGGGATATAAACCCACAGAGTCTGATCTCGCAGCCTGCATTTTAAAATTATTTAAAAATATTTGGAAGTATTTTAATATATAGCCTCCAAGATAAACCATCAAGAGAAAATACCAGGGGGCTTAAGCCAATAAAAACAGCAAACATGTGTGGACTACTTACTGTGTACTGGGCTTGATACTAAGAGCTTGTCATACGTTTCTACATTTAACATCTATAGTATCTCCACAAGGTAGGTACCATTATTATCTCCATTTTATTTATTTTTAAAAAGATTTATTATTTATTTGAGAGAGAGAGAGAAAGCATGTGCGCGGGCATGAGTGTGCAGGTGAACAGGGAAGAAGCAGAGGGAGAATCTCAAGAAAGCTCCCTGCTGAGCACAGAACCCAATGTGGGGCTTGATCCTGTGACCCTCAGATCACAACATGCACTGAAATCAAGAGTCAGATGCTCAACAGACTGAGCCAACCAGGCGCCCCCTACCTCCATTTTATAGAGGGGAAAACCACCAATCAAACAGCCAAGTAACTTACCCCAGGTCAAACTAGTGGTGATTGGTGCAGTTACAATTTGTTCCTAAATCTGCCAAATGGTTGTGGGCACTAGTTTGGAACTGGACTGAGGTACTGGTCCTGACATTGCTACTGACCAGCTGTGAGCCCTGAGAAAGTCATTTAACCTCTAGACGCCTCAATGTCTTCACCTTAGAATGGGACAACTAAAATTGACCCAGTGGATCATTTTGAAGCTTAAAAAGGATTAAGGCATGTAAACTGCTCAGCATGTGCCTGAAATGGAGTAAGAGTTCAAGAAATGTTAACCACAGGGGCACCTGGGTGACTCAGTCGTTAAGCATCTGCCTTCGGCTCAGGTCACGATCCCAGGGTCCTGGGTTCGAGCCCCGCATCGGGCTCCCTGCTCAGCGGGAAGCCTGCTCCTCCCTCTCCCGCTCCCCCTGCTTGTGTTCCCTCTCTTGCTGTCTCTCTCTCTGTCAAATGAATGGAAGGGAGGGAGGGAGGGAGGGAGGGAGGGAGGAAGGAAGGAAGGAAGGAAGGAAGGAAGGAAGGAAGAAATGTTAACCACTAAGTAGGCTATGTTCTCTTTGTCACAAAGGCAAACACTCAACTGTTCCTGGAACCCGACCAGAGCTTGGACTGGTGCTTCTCTTCCTGCTCAGCTACTGGCTCGATAACTGCATCCCAATCCAGATGTCCAACTCGTTCTAGTGACCCCATACCGCCTCTGCGTTAGCCCTCAACCATGAGGAGTGTAGGTGGGGGTGGGTACCCTCCAAAAGACACCCTGAGAAAGGGTGACCTAGGATCATTCTCAAAGACAAGGGAGCGCACTGTCCGCCCTTACCTGTTGTACATATCAGCCATCATCTCTACCTCCAGCTCCGCAGCCAGCTGCTGGGCCCTGAGCGGATCCATCTCAGCCCTGCACCGTGGAAGAGATGTCCTTCTGGCTTCCTAGTCCTGGGAGCAGACATCACCGTCAGCTTCCACCTCTCCCGTTCCGTTTCCCATCCCAGGGAGGGTAGAGGATGCGGAGGATTCACAAGGCATGGGGCTGGCAGGGGTCACTGACCTCAGTGAGCTCAACCACCCCATCTCACAGATGTGGAAACGGAGGCCCAGAAAGGGAACACTGCCTAGCCCAAGGTCACATAGCATGTCAATGGAACGGCTGGAAATCGAGCCCTGGCGCCCCAGTCCCTCGTGGTCGCCCTTACCCAGAAGAAGATCTAGAGACCGGAAAGGAACACTAAACCGCGGGCCTGAACCTCCAGGGCCCCGGGAATTCGAAAACACGCGTAGCTAAGGTGCACAAGTCCCGGTTCAGGGGCTGCACCTCTGAAATGGCGGCGCCATCATCAGGGTCACCATGAGGCGAGAAGTCACTTACCACGGCCCGCGGCCAGTCACAATGCCCGCGGTGTCCCCAACTTCGGGTAAACAGTAGAAACTCACCGTGCGACCAGGTAAGATAAAGCGGAAGCACGTGGGTCACTTCCGGGAGGGAAGTCCCGCCTCTTCTTTGATCGGACTTGCTTCCGGAATGAAGTACCAACGAGGCGGCGCTGGGAAATCGGCTACCATAGAGAGGGAGCCGCCGGCCGTGGCCGAAGGCGAAAGCGCCTTGCAAATGCTAGAGAGGACGCCAAAATACCATAGAGGCTGGGCGGAGTGCAGAGCGCCTGCAGCCTGGCTGTCAAGTCCCTTGGGTTATCGCGGAGAGATCGGAGTTTAACTGTTTTGTAGAAAGGGGCCAGAGGGCACAGCGTGGTGAATCTCGCCCCCGGCCCCGGAGAGTTGACGCCCCAGCACAAACCCAGGCACGGAGAAGGAAGGACTCCCCTAAAGAGCAGTTCTGTTTGTGCTGCAAATTAAGGTCACCTGGGACGCTTTAAAATATCCCGATGCCCATACCTCACTTCATACCAATTAAATCAGAACCTCTGGGAGTAGCACCCAGGCATCAGTAAATGTTTCAGTGCCTTAGGTGATTTCTTTGTGCAGCCAAGTTTGAGAGCCAGTTCTCCAAGGGACTGTGGGAATACAGCTGCATGTAGGTCCTAAGTTTTCCCTGGGGTTGCAGAGAAGCGAGGCACGGTTCCTGCTCACAGAAAAACGAGACATGTATACAGTCTGTTTTATGCAACTTCTTCTGTTGTACGCCCTGGACCATAACGAGATGAATAGGAGCGATTTTGGCTGCCATGAGAGTTAACCTAGTGTATTTGAGCGAGGGAAGGGGAAAGTACTTGTGAACTCTTCATCTTTCCAGACTTCATGTGTTCCTCTATCTGCACCACTACACCACAAAAACCCACCCCAATCCTTTGATTTTTCAAGGCATTTCCCAGTAAACGAAGTTTAGAAGATGCAAATTAATGGTGCAAGCATACACTGCCCATTGGCGAAGGTGGGCTGGTTGGTCACTATATGCTTCCCTAATTGCCCAAGGTTTTAATAAAAGTCAAGGTTTTAAATACTGGTCCTCATTTCTGCTCTAAGAACTCATCTCTCTCAAGCCCTGTGCCCCGATACTTTAAAATTAAGGTAGGGGTGCCTGTGTGGCGCAGTCGGTTAGGCGTGGGACTATTGTTTTCTGTTCAGGTCATGATCTCATGGTGGTGAGATAGAGCCCTGCCTTGGCTCCTGGCTCAGTGCAGAGATTTTCTTGAGATTTTCTTCTGAGATTTTCTCCCTCTCCCTCCCCCTCTTATAACCACCACTCAGATCAAAATACGATGTATTTCCAACACCTTCAAAAGTTATCTTTGGTTCCTTCCCAGTCAATACCCCTGCGCCCAAAGTAACCACTATTCTGACTTCTATTGCCATCAGTTAGTTTTGCCTACTCTTGAACTTCATGTAAATGAAGTTATACATTATTTGCTGGTTTGTGCCTGACTTCTTTAGCTCAGTGTAATGTCCGTAAGATTTCATCCATATTGTTGTGTTTATCTGTCATTCATTCTTTTTTATTGCTGTCTAGTGTTTATATGAATAAGCCACAATTCATTTATCATTTCACCTGTTGATAGACTTTTGGGTTGTTTCCAGTTTGAGGCTATTATGACAATGCTGCCGTGAATATTACTGTACATATTGGACAATATTGGACATATAATATTATGTAATATTGGACATATAATATTGTACATAGTGGACACATGTACTGGTTTTAGCTTGTTTTTTTTTAAAGATTTCATTTATTTGACAGAGAAAGAGAGCAAGAGAGAGAGTACAAGCAGGGGGAGCAGCAAACAGAGGAAGAAGCAGGCTCCCCTCTGAGCAGGGAGCCCAATGCAGGGCTCAATCCCAGGACCCCAGGATCATGACCTGAGCCGAAGGCGGATACTTAACTGACTGAGCCAGGCAGGTGCCCCTGGTTTTTGCTTTTGATAATACAGTCAACACATTATGGAATATTAAGAAATTGCATGGGAAAAGGAGATGGGTTCTTTTTTTTTCCAAATTTTTTATTGTTATGTTAATCACCATATATTACATCATTAGTTTTTGATGCAGTGTTCCATGATTGATTGTTTGTTCATAACACCCAGTGCTCCATGCAGAACGTGCCCTCTTTAATACCCATCACCAGGCTGACCCATCCCCCCAACCCCCTACCCTCTAGAACCCTCAGTTTGTTTTTCAGAGTCCATCATCTCTCATGGTTCGTCTCCCCCTCTGACATACTCCCCTTTTCTTCCTCTCCTGTTATCTTCTTCTTTTCCTTTTTTCTTAAAATATGTTGCGTTATTTGTTTCAGAAGTACAGATCTGTGATTCAACAGTCTTGCACAATTCACAGCGCTCACCGTAGCACATACCCTCCCCAAAGTCTATCACCCAGCCATCCCATCCCTCCCACCCCCAACCACTCCAGTAACACTCAGTTTGTTTCCTGAGATTAAGAATTCCTCATATCAGTGAGGTCATGTGATACATGTCTTTCTCTGATTGACTTATTTCACTCAGCATAACACCAAGGAGATGGGTTCTTACAAGAATAATCTGCTTCCTTGATGGGATTTTTATTAGGTGTTACAAAAGGTGACACACTGTACGATTCTGTTTAAATAATATTCTCAAGATGACAAAATTATAGGGGCATTCCCCCATCGGACTCCTCGCTCAGCGGGGAGTCTACTTCTCCCTCTGATCCTCTCCCCCTCTCATGCTCTCTCTGTCTCATTCTTTTTCTCTCAAATAAATAAACAAAATCTTTTTAGAAAAAAAAGATGACAAAATTATAGAGACAAAGAGATTTATAGTTGCCTAGTGTTAAAGTTGGGGGGGTAGGGGTGCCTATAAAGGGGTAGAACAGGGAGATCTTTGTGGTGATGGGATGGTTATCCATCCTGATTGTGGAGGGGTTTATAGGAATCTAAACATGTGGTAAGATGTCATAGAACTATACACACCATTGCTCCAGTGTCAATTTCTTGGCTCTGATATTGCATATAGTTATGTAAGACTTGACTTTCAGTACTCTCTCTGTACTGTTATGCAACTTCCTGTAAACCTACAATTATTTCAAAATAAAGGTTAAAACAATCATTACAAAAAAGAAAAACAAACAAAAAATGTACGTAAAGCATCTAGTCCATGGCAGATGCTCAGTAAAAAGAAGTCATTGTTCTCGTTCCTTTTAATTTTTAGACTTTTATTAGAGTAAATGTAAAACATACAGAAAAGTGGAGGGCACAGTATATTGAACTTCCACATACCCGTCACCAGACTTTAACAGTTGTTAACATTTAGCCATGTTTTCTTCATCCATTTTGACCTCACAGATAAAGTCCTTTTCCACAGTGCCATTTTCATACTCTCAAAATTATAGTCATTTTTTTTAAAGATTTTATTTAATTGAAAGAGAGAGACACAGTGAGAGAGGGAACACAAGCAGGGGGAGTGGGAGAGGAAGAAGCAGGCCTCCCAAGGAGCAGGGAGCCCAACGTGGGGCTCGATCCCAGGACGACTGAGCCACCCAGGCACCCCAATTGTAGTCATTTCTTAATGTAATCTTATGCACATATTCAATTTCCCCCAATTTCTCAAAAACGGCCCCCCAGTAGCTCAGTCGGTTAAGCGTCTGCCTTCGGCTCAGGTCATGATCCTGGGGTACTGGGATAGAGCCCCGCGTTGGGCTCCCTGCTCAAGAGGCAGTCTACTTCTCCCTCCCTCTTTCCCTCTGCCCCCCCCATTTGTTCAGGCGTGCGCGCGCGCTCTCTCTCTCTCAAATAAATAAATAAAATCTTTTTTTAAAATAACCCCTTTTGGGGTCCATCTGGCTGGCTCAGTTGGAGGAGCGTGCAACTCTTGATCTTGGAATTGTGAGTTCAAGTCTCATGTTGGGTGTAGAGATTACTTGAAAATAAAATCTTTTTTTAAAAACGGCCCCTTTTTTTTAAGATTTTATTTATCTGTTTGACACAGAGAGAGAGAGAGGGAACACAAGCAGGGGGAGTGGGAGAGGGAGAAACAGGTTTCCTGTGGAGCAGGGAGCCCAATGTGGGGCTCAATCCCAGGACCCTGGAATCATGACCTGAGCCGAAGGCAGACGCTTAACTGACTGAGCCACCCAAGCGCCCCCCAAAATGGCCCTTTTTTATATGGCAAGAACACTTCACACGAGATCTACCCTCTAAGCAAGTTTTTAAGTGCACAATGCTGTTTTGTTAACTGTATGCACAATGTTGTATAACAGATCTTGGGGACTTACTCATTTTGAACACCTGAGACTTTATACCCATTGAACAACTCCACACTTTTCCCCTCCCCGCAGTGCCTAAGGTAATCACTGTTCTTACTGATGATGATATAATGGCTATTATCTACTATGAGACTGTGTCTTTTCTTTCCTATACTTACAGAGTTGGCGATTTGAGAACCCATAAGTAGGAATTTCCAATTGTTCCTATTAAGTTTCTTCTTGTAAAACAAAAACAAAAACAGTTTATACAGCCCCAGCCTTCCAAGATCTCTTTGGAATCCAGATACGTCGTCTAAAGTTGCTGACCTCTGTCAGCACCACCGTGAAGCTCTGGCCTCTCTCTCTACCATGATCCACCCATTCCCAGCCTCCCAGGCTCCAGAAAGGGAGTTGTGTATTTGCTACTCACCATGCATCAGTACTGTCCTCTTGGATGGGACCCCAACCCCATAGAAAGGGATGCAGGATTGTCACCCAGAATCTGATATGGGCCCTGACCACTCATAAGAGGAGAGAGACTATGAAGACGGTCTAGGAGGACTCCCTGGAGAAGAGCAGGAGATGAGAGAGCAAGAATGTCAGTGGCTTGAACAGAAGGGTCATTCTAGTGGTTTGGAGACAAAGCTGGCTCAGTCTTGGTCATTGTCATCCTCAATTACCATTCCTCACCACGTCTCCTCACCACCGTCTTGCATCTGGCTTACGGCGGTAATGTCCTGACTGGTTTCCCCACCTCACTTCATGCTCCCCCCTTAGTCTATTCTCAAAATGACAACCAGAATCATCTTGTCAAAAACTAAAGTTAGGTCATGTCC